GGTGATCACACCCACAAACTACACCCTTTTTGGCTCCTACCTCAAAGCACACTGTGTTCTGTTGATCTTATGTGCTGCACAATAATGTTTAATCCATTCGCTTCCGCTCTTTGCGTGGGTTCTCTCCGGGTACTCCGGCTTCCTCCCACCGTCCAAAGACATGCAGCTTGTGGGGATAGGTTAATTGGATAATCCAAATTGCCACTAGGTGTGAATGTGCGAGTGTGCATTTGGTAAAGTAAATCCGTTGGGCATCTTTCTTTGCCTTTAAACAATAATTCTGATGGCAAAAGAGCCAAACGGGACAGGCAAAAAAAAAAAAATGCTCAGAAAGCTCAGTCAGTAAAAGGAAAGTAAATGTTTGCTCATTTGTTTGCCCTCCTACCTATCGAGCAAATGTAACAGTCACTGTCTGAGAGATGAAGGCAGAGAGAAAACTGATGATATAACTCCTCACATTAGGCTTAGTGACTGTGCCATTGCAACCATTAACACACATTAAGCCACATAAAGTAGAGCTGACTGGCACTGACTGTAGGGAGAAGGAAATTTTAGTGTTTAGGGACCCCTTTGTGTGCGTTCAGTACTTTGTGAGTGTGTGTGTGTTGTGTGTGTTTTTAACTGGTACTTTGCCCCTGTCGACCTTTATCCTGAGCCGCACCGATTTCCCCACTGCTCATCTGTGAAACAAGCTGAGATGTGTGCACTCTGTATCCTACAGTCAGTGTTTCATTTCTATTTGGGAGGTTTGCAGGGGCACAATAAGTTCACCAAGTGCATTAAGAATCAGCTTACCTGACGACAGATGACAGCATCCGAGAGTACATGTCCTCTCTCTGGCTGCTCATCTGCTCTGCATGAACCACTCACATAAGGATAGCAAGTAACATATTTTAAAGACTGCTAAAAACATGGAAATTAATTAATAGTGTAAAAGTGTACAGCAGATTTATAAGAGCGCAAACCAGCCCTCTTATGGTTATGAGTCAAAATTACAACTGCACGTGTGCTGGAGACAGATTATCAAAGTACTTAGAAAATAGCCTGACCAAAGGGTATCTTAGCTTAGTAGCTACATGAAATCAGGGGGAAATACTACATAGACTGTACATTAAAGATGACACATAGTTGAGGCCCACTGTCTGTGGACTTTGCAAGACACACACTAATTAGTGCTAAGCTATAACTATGGGTTCAAAATGTGGTCATAAATATTTTGTACTTGTAAATCAGTTTTGTACTTGTAAATCAGGATTTGTATGTGTAAAAAGAATTATGTGTGTGTAAAAAAGATTTGTGTGTGGACTTAGCCAAAAAAACCCTGCAAGTTACAACTACGAATTTTGACCCTATTTTTCTTCCTTTCATCTGATTGGTGAATGTCATGTCAATCACAAATGTAACAATCCAATCAGAGAACAGATGGGTTTGGCTGTCGGAGGGGCGCTTTTTTTGAACTGCAGGTCTTTGAAGGGAATAAATGCCCTTTTACATGCCAACCCAGCGTTTTCCTTCATCACCACGAAGGAAAACAGTCTGTGGTCGTCCGAGTTTGGTGATTTTTGTGTCACAGGTCTACGTGTTTAATACAGGGACTTCCACAGTGTTTTGGAAATGACAGTCTTCATTACAAAGCTTTCTTCGTTATGAATTAGCATACATGTTTTTATTGAACATTTGAAGAACTAGCAAAAAAACCAAAACTCTTGTAGAGGACATAAAGTCAGAGATAAAAACGACAAGGAGCAGGTGCATCTAGTACAGGTAGAGCTGCTGCAAAAACCCACAGAGCCCAGCAGCCAGCAACAAATTCTGGATCCTTTGCTTTTAGTTAGCAGTTAGCATTAGCAGCACATCCTGCGTCCGATGTGAAAGGACTTTTATGCTGCGCACTGTGACTCACAGCAATGGTCCTGGGTCAGCCCTGACTTTGTGTTAAACTAATCCTAAAGTAATAATGGTATTTCTAACCACTGATATACCACAACTTTATCCTTTCAACAGCTACTGAAAGTTAGGGGACCACACCCGCCCTCTCACATCATCTATAATTGACTGAGTCAGGACTCTTCCAGACACTAAACCAAGGCACAATGTACATTTCAATTCCTTTAATTTTAAATATGTTTATATTGTCTATCCTGTAAAATAGTCAGATGTCTATTCATATTAATGTACAGAATTCACCTGCTTGCTGCTACTACTGCACATTCACCCAATGTGTATATATATATATATATATATATATATATATATATATATATATATATATATATATATATATATATATATATAAATTTGTCTTTTTTTAATGAAGCATGTATTTTGTTTGTGCTAGCAGGAAAAATAAAGGTGTAACCCATACAATTAAAAAGTATTCTTGCATTCTGCAGTCCCCTTCTGTGGGTTATAAAGGCAAACTGCTGTTTAGACATTTATGAGGAAGTGATGAGGAAGCAGGATTTTTCCTGGACAGACAAGAAAATCAAACATGCTGGCGTCTTTGTTGCACTGTCATAACAGGGCAGTGGAGGAAGGGGAAAGAAGACACATGTTCAGGATCTACCTGTAGGCTGCTGCTGGAATTGAAATGAAACATGCACGTCAAGGTCAGAAGATTTACCTGTAGTTGTTGCAGCTGCATATATCTGTGGCAGTGTGAACCTGTCTTTTCCCTCAGAGTTCAAACGTTACAGTGATAATGACTGCACAGAGCATTTTTGTGCCATAACAGTACTTAACAGCAGCACACATCTAAAAGCAGAGGAATTCATCAGTCTGGGAAATACTTGCTCAGTTAATTTGGTTCATCAGGAGAAAAAGAAATTTGTGTTTTGAACTGTTGGTTTGAAAAAACAGGGTTCTGGCAAATGTGTCTGTTTTCTGACCACATAATTTGTCCATTAACTGAAAGAATAATTGATAATTGATTAGAACATACACCTTTAGTGTAAATGCTTCATTGCGGCCTAAGGCAAATAAAACAGCCAAAGAGGGCAATTTTTGTTAATTTACAGCACTTTGGGTTTTCTAAGGAACCAACGGTTTGGTTATTCCTTCCTGTCATTGTTGTTTTTGTTGCCCCCTGCTGATTATGAGAGAGTATGTGGTGCTGATTCTTAGAATTAGTTGGAAGAACATTGACCCCCATAAAACTGTTCGGTTGTGTTTTCTGGAGTCAGTCTGTCCCACCAGAAAATCTTCTTACAGCGAGTGCACAACATCTGGTCACACCCTCCATCCTTCTGTAACGTAAAGCACAACACACGTATGAGCAAATTCAATCAGAAACTCTCTCTGAACTGCTCTGTGCTCGCAAGTTTGTACGAATGTGCTCAGGTGAGTGCAAACCTCTATTCTAGTGAAGCATTCAGGACAACTCTTGGTATTGTTGGCAATCCAGTTGTCGCTTAGTTTTTTTTCTGCAATGGACACCAGTAAATTGCAGCCATATCTATTTTCCAGCAGGCGCTTCCTCTCCCTGCTGCCACTGGCATAGTCCTCCCAGAGAGCCTTCATCCCCTCTAAGAGACACATAAAGGACACCAGCATCTACACTTGGACTAAACACACATGTGCATCGACTCAAAGCAATCATCCAGTTACCTCCTGTACTTTCAAACCTCCAAAGTCTCATTTGTGAAACAGTTTTACATTTACTGTGACTGGATGTTGTCATTTTCATTATTCTTTGAAACTTTTTTCTTGTGGTCACACAGCTGTGTACCTTGTGACTGTGGCAGGTCTATTATATATCTTTCAGCATATTTTTTCTTGGTCTCACACTTCCCCGTTCCATGGTATGTTTTTCTGCATATGGCGCAGAAGGCAAAGCCGCACTCAGAGCAAAGCGCTGCCTTGCTGGATTTCTCCAAAATCACGGCAGAGCCGCAGGATGTTCGAGGACAGTACGTCACATCTGCGAGACAAAAAGATGCCAAAAGAAATGAGATACTTATGAAAAAGAGCTAAAGATGTTCTTTTTACCAGGTCTAACCCAGAAATGTAATAAATAGATTCTGATCAGTCTATGAAAGCCTTCATCACACAATCAGTATAACAGCAACAGAAAGAAAACAGACCAGACATGCTGTCCAGAGTCTTCTGCAGCAGGAGACGGTCATAGCGGTCAAACAGCTTCTCCCCTACCAGACTCTGCACCTACAAACACAACAGAGATGAAAAAGCAGAGACACAAAGTGAGACTGAGGTCAGCTGATCGAAATTCAAACACAGAGGTTTCATTTGAAACCTCTGTGTTTGAAACGCACAGTAAGGAAATGGTCAGCAGAGACTGAAGAGGCCCCGAGGGACTGTTTCCGTTCTACTGTGTGGGACAACCTCTGCAGCCCCCTGGAGGATGACCTCAACAGCATCACAGACTGCATTACAGATTACATGAACACCGTAGCCATCAAAAATTTATGGTGTTTTTCTAACAACAAGCCATGGATAAATCCTGAAATTAAGGCTCTCCTCAAGGAGAAGAAGAGAGTCTTTAGATCTGGACACAAACAGGAGCTGAGAGTCGTCCAGAAGAAGCTGAAATGGAAGATAAGGCAAGGAAAGGAAAACTACAGGAGGAAGATGGAAGAGCAGCTGCAACAGGACAACATCAGAGGGGTTTGGAACAGCCTGAAGACAATCTCAGGACAAAAACCAACCCCTCAGGCTGCAGGAGACTTGGGGTGGGTGAATGACCTAAATAATATTTTAATAGGTTTGATCAACCACCCACCCCTCCCACAGCATCGTCCCCCCCTGCTGCAATCTCCTTCAGGGACTGCCTCTCCTTCATCTCAGGACTTCACAACTCTCAGCTTCACGCCTCCCAGCTCCCAGTCATTACACCCACCCCCGGCTTCTGTGGACTCCAACATACACCACCCTCCCCCAAAATCCATTCTTTCTATCTCAGCACTTCAAGTGAGGAACGAGCTTCGCAAGATCAAGGTGCGGAAGGCTGCAGGTCCAGATGGCATCAGCTCCAGGCTCCTGAGATGCTGCGCAGATGAACTGTGTGGCATACTAGGATATCTGCTCAACCTGAGCCTGTCACTGGGGAAAGTATCACAGCTGTGGAAGACATCCTGTGTGGTACCGGTACCAAAGACCTCCCATCCCAAGGACCTCAGCAGCAGCTGACATCGCATCTGATGAAGAACCTCGAGGTTGGTTCTAAACCATCTGCGCCCCCTGGTGAGGTCTTCATTGGATCCGCTACAGTTTGCTTACCAGCCTGGCATTAGGGTGGAGGACGCCATCATCTACCTCCTGCACCGAGCTCTGACTCACCTGGAGAAGCCTGGAAGCACTGTTTAGCTGGAGCTATCGGGAGTGGACCAACACATGTCCCAGTGGATACTGGACTACCTCACAGGACGCCCACAGTATGTGAGGTCACAGGGCTGTGTCTCTGACACGCTGGTCTGCAGTACGGGGGCCCCACAGGGTGCCGTCACCGTTCCTCTTCACCCTCTCCACGCTGCCACCTACAGAAGTTCTCTGACGACTCTGCCATAGTCGGCCTCATCACAGGTGAGGACGACTCAGAGTACAGACGGTGGACTCTGGACTTTGTAGACTGGTGTCAGCAGAGCCACCTGCTGATCAACGCCGAGAAAACCAAGGAGTTGGTGGTGGACTTCCGGAGACGCAGACCCACCACACTGACACCAGTGAACATCCAGGGAGTGGACATTGAGATAGTGGACTCTTATAGGTACCTGGGTGCTCACCTGAATAATAAACTGGACTGGAGCCACAACACTGATGCTCTTTACAGGAAGGGTCAGAGCAGACTCTACCTGCTGAGGCCGCTGAGGTCATTTGGAGTCCAGGGAGCGCTTTTAAAGACTTTCTATGACTCTGTGGTGGCATCCGTCATTTTTTACAGTGTTGTATGTTGGAGCAGCAGTTTATCGGCAGCTGAGAGGAAGAGGTTGGATAAACTCATCAGGAAGGCCAGCTCTGTTCTGAGATGCACCTGGACCAAGTGCAGGTGGTGGGAGACAGAAGGACTCTGGCCAAAATAACATCTCTGATGGACAGAGTCTCCCACTCCATGCATGTTGCTGAACTGCAGAGCTCCTTCAGTGACAGACTGCTGCATCCTAGATGCATGAAGGAGCGTTTCCGCAGGTCCTTCCTCCCTGCAGCTGTCAGACTGTACAATCAGAACTGCTCCCAACAAACATAGACGTTTACATCTGCGCTGTAACTGCAATAAGTTAATCAACCGATTCACACTGCAACCTGGTTTGCCTCTTATCTGTAGTTATTTTTATTTAATTTAAAAACTGTACAGTACTCTGTTTATAGTAACCATTGTCCTTAATGTAAATATGTAAGAAAAATTGTGTATGTTTCTGTTCTGTGTAATGTGTACTGTTTGTTTGTATATGTGTCTTTCTGGCTGCTGTTAAAACCAAATTTCCCCTTGTGGGACAATTAAAGGATTATTCTATTCTATTCTATTCTATTCTATTCTATTCTATTCTATTCGACAAGAAAGGACAGTCATCAGTTCTCCTTGTCTCCTCTGTCCTTGATCCTTCTACCTGTAGCTATTTTTAACAGCTTTTAAAATGTGTTGCGATATTAGATGAAAGGACCAAACACTACAGTTGTTGAAACCATTCTGCAGGTTGAAGGCTGCGTGTAGCTTCTACCTGTGCAGGTGTAGGGGCACCAGCGCAGTCTGCCTGAGGACAGGTGACACCCCGGACGTTCCCCTCTGTGATCTGAACCGTACAGAACTCGCAGAGACAGGCCCGGCAGAAGACGTGGCCACACGGTGACAGCTTCACGCACTCGGACCCGAGCCGGCCCATAAAACAAACCCCGCAGTCAAAGAAAGTGGTGGCAAACACTTTGTGTTTCTGGGCCGCATCATAGA